TTTTCTCCTTATTTATTATTACTTCTTATTATTAAACACAATAGAGGCAAAATTCCGCCATTTTTTTTTCTCCCAACCTATTCTAATCTCTGCTGTTTGGTACTAAATCTTATTGTAAATAAGACGCCCCGTGCTCCCATTGGTGAAAAATTTCCGATCTATTGGAACAATTCGCGTGATTTGTGCCCCAAATAAGTACTTTAAAACAATTAAACCACATTCGTAATAAATTAGGTATTTCAAGACAGGCCGTTATTCTAGAAAGCCATAGATACATTGTTTCCGTTATTATAACTAGGGCAAGCACGATAGGGCGTGACTTATTGTGCTAGGCCTGCTGGTTGCTTTATATCACATTGTAATTGGTTCTTAAAATATCAGGGGGCCTACCATAACCTTTCCAAAAACAATCTTATGTCTATGTAAGCTTAAAGTAAGCTTATTATAATATTACTCATATTCGTACCATGACAAACCTGTCAACCAAGTAATGATTATTGCTAAAGTGACTGAAAGAAATAATGATTTCCCAATATTGTCTATACCTTACTAAAAATAGGAAATATATAATGCTATATGAACTGTAGGTATAATGTCATCCCTTTCTTTTTTGATGTTCCGAATCGTCCTATCGTAGTATAATGTTAAAGTACCTACTTAATATTATTTACACTCAGAGAATTTGGACTGCCAAACAACGAAAAATATGTAATAATGAATTATTTTTACGCATTTTCATGAAGAAAAATAAATAAAACAAGCCGAGTCTTGATTGTCACGTTCTGAATTCAGAATTATAGTCTAGTGTCAATCATTAGTTTCGCCAAGGAGGATTTTACGAAATAAACATCGCGTATTTTTATTTAACGAAAAATCATTTCCTGTGTGCTATTACATAAAAAATAAACAAAATATTGAAGAGATATATGTATATAAAGAAGTTCAACTTAACTTTTAATCATTACAAATGAATATTAAGGCAAGAAAACTGAAAATAATATTGTTTCCATTGCATCCGTGTAACTATTTTAAGATTGCGAAATTTGACATAAGAACAATATTACTTCGCGTCATAGTACGAACCGAGTGAATGAATAGTCACAAAGCTGCCAATAAAACATCATAGTTTTAACATTACAGTAAGCTTACTTACTACTTTATTATTTTAATTGGTTGTGGCAGGCCCCCTGGTTCTGTACCAGGTAGATCAGTGCCTACAATACTTTAGAAGTCGAATAGTGTCATCTTTGAATCAAATATTTATAATATATTTTTTTAATATACCAAGTGACGCTGACGGGACGAACAAGTCGTGCACCTGGTGGTAAGCGACACACCTGTCCAAACCACTTGCAGTGCCACTCAAAGCTTTAAATCTTCGGGATCTGAGGGGCACTGCCACTGCGTCTGTCACCTGAGACATGAGTCCCATATGCGTGTAATTTCACCAGCACCCTACCCGTATCCTTCAAAACCGGAACTCAATAATATTCAGATTACTGCTTGGCGGCAGAAATAAGTAGGTAAGGTAGCAGCACGTCTCTGGACAAACTCTTTCACAAGGAGCTCTACTGCTACTAAAATTGGCGGTAAGTGACAAGATACCCTAATAAAAAAATTTGGATGTTTAAATTTTCTTACTTCTGCACCTTTACACGGAAATTTGAAAATTGCAAACTGATACAAATACATACTGTATCTATACAGATACATTCGTCAAAGATTACAACAAAAACATTAATAACAATGCCTATTTTTTACTTACCTAACTGAACTATGTTCTTTTTTCAATTCCTGTACAATCATGTTTTTTTGTAGTTACTACTTAGATATCGATATTTCTATAAGAATAGACTAGGTATATAGAGTTCTTAGGTTTTCGCGTCGCGATAGTTACACATAGGAAATGAAACTATTTTTTCGAAACTAAATCGACGATCGGGTGGTCGGATTTTCGAAACAAACAAACGTTCAACAGTCAGCCGTGACCATGTTTGAAAAAACAAATAAACGCGATGTAGATTTGAAGAAATAGTTTCATTGCAGACTACTTAAGCGATGTGGGATACCTATCGAAGAAAAACAACGTAAAATACAACACGTAATATATTTTATTTCATCGCTACAATATTGTTTACTATTGGGAAAAACACTCTATTTACAACAAATCGTTGCGACAATTAATGAAAATCTACAAAATTTGATTTAATCAAACCATCGTCGCCACTAATAAAAATACGTATCTATTTATGTTATAAATTATAATTACTTTTATAAATTGCATTACCAGTCACAGGGTGAGAATAAGGATGCTGCTTAATTTTATAATTTCCACTTCGAAGATATATTTATTTATTTATTAATCATTTAAACATGGTTTGAAATTAATTTATCATTACTGCGTTTTCTTTCTAGGTGCCACATTGGACAACTCGGTGTTCGCTCATCTATATTCCAGTAGATCACAATGGCATCCAGGGATCCAGTACTTTACTTTGTAGGCTGAAAGTTCTGCCTTATAGAACCTTGTAATACAACTAAATTAATGATGATACCTATTTAAAAGTGTTTAAATTTCAAACATACACACACTGGCAGATTTAGCGGAACACAATTATGCTCAAAATAACGCAGTGTTTTTTTCAAAAGTCTAGCCGGTTCTTTTACTTTTTCATTTTAGGTCTAATTTGAAAATAAAACAATTAGTGGATTGTCACTTTTTTCATTCATTTGTTTTAATTTCATGCTACAGGTTTGTTCAGTTCGAGATTGATTTTGTATTCTTGTAAATTTCGTAAACTTTAAAAATCAATTTTTGTTTATTTAATTTCATTTAACCAGTGCAGTGTTAATTAAACGGTTACAATTTTTAAATTTTCAGCAGTTTATGCTTCGTCACATCTATAAAAAAATCATTTTGTTTAATTTTTATTTTTATTCAACAAAGATCGAGGCTGTACTAAGTCGATGTTAATTTAATTGATACTGTATGTCCAATTCTTTTTTGTTTAAAAATAAATGTTACTATTTTATGTTCTCACTTTTTTGTTCCACTAAATGTCCGGTACTTTAATGCTGTAGCTAAATCTTCCACTGTACATATATTTTGACACATAGAACATAGTGAAATAAAACGATTGTTAAGGGTAATTTCTGAAATTAATTTACGCCTTACAAATTTGTTCATAAATACAACCGAAATACTGTGCTTTAATTGATCTAATTATTTCTAAAAACAATTATGTATAAATGGTATAAATGAAGTCATGATTTCGTCAAAATGTATTTACATATTAATAATATTATTTTTATCGCAATATACAGGGAATCCCACGACTATGGTACATGGAGGGAAAGTACTTTAAACAGTGTAGATAGGATATTTTGCTTTATGGTAAGGTTACCATCCGTCCAAATTTGTCCGGACATGTAGGCATTCTGTAAGGATTTTTCGACTTAGCGCAATAATTTCAAAAAACTCGATTTAAGACAAAAAATTTGTTGCGCTTGTTCAGCTCTGCTGCAGCACAGAGATTTTTTATTTTATTTTGTTACTAAAAAGTCCAGGCTTTTGTAGACTCCTTGTATAACTATGACGATTGATGTCTATATATCATTAATTTCCTAACACATTTATATAGATAAAATGCAATATAAAAGCCAATTATGTTGCTTGTCTTACGAACTAAAATTAGTTTGTTTTGGTACCCCCTTACCCCTTGGTGAGATCTATTGCATTTAGTGCTGACTAACTTTGCCTGACTAATTCGGAGTCAGAAGTTAAGTTGAATATTTTCGCGTAAAACAAGTAATGTGTTTGTTGCCTGATATGTCAAATATTAGAGGGCTTTAGCGCATCAACATTTGCCAATTAGATAATTACGCTACACCAAGCAACGTGTCATTTGTTTCACTAACAATTAAGGCAACAATATCTCAACCCAGTCTATCAGCAAACCAAGCATAAACTGGTGTAGTCTTTGTTCGATGTGTCGTAGAAGAATAGAATGTGGAGCGTAGAAGAATAGGTTTTAGCGACCAATAGTATGTTCGGTAGCCGACACACAACACGCTTACAAGTTGTGGCCCCAGCCAGGTAAATTTAATAAATGGCAACTTTGGTTGCCAATGGCTGCTTAGTGGTTGGAGCCTCTAATTTCAACCAAAACTAATGTTGCATCATGCCTTTATATATTAATTCTAAAGTAAAGGCGTAAAAGCCATACAAGACAAATGAAAAACAAATATTTATAAACGATTTCGTTCATATACTTACTTTAGATTATTATAACTATGTTTACGTGATAATCCACGTTTTTGGAGAAAAATAATTATTTGACGAAACAGATTGACAGATTGTGAAGTGAAAATTTGAACTAACCACAACAGGTAATTTTTGATCAAATTGAATTTTACCTTTCTTTCTCAAAGTATCGATGCACAAAAAATATTATAATATTAGTAGTTAGCCTATATACCTATTGACCTACTGTTGGGCGCAGGCCTTCTCTCACAATGGGAGGGCTTGGTGTGTAGTTCCCAAGCGGGCCTAATGCGGCTTGGGAACTACACACATCACTAAATTGCTTTGCAGATATGTGCAGGCTGCACGATGAATTCTTTCACTGAAAAGCTCATGTTGAATTTCAAATTAAATTTCGAAAAACTCACAACTGCAAGCCACGACCCTCTGCTTGAGAGGAGGTGGGTCCAAAACCATAAGGCTACCGCGGATATTAATAAATTTATTATTATTAGCCATTAAATTTAAAGAAATTTTGGGAACTGATTGATGACCTGTACTCTTGTTTTTTGTCAGTTTATGTACAATCCACTAAATGGCAATTTTTATTATTTAAATATTCAAGTATATTATCGTGTAATTATTAATATATATTTCACGATACAATATTCGAATATTAAATAATATTGTACGATAAAAAATCGAATACTTAAATAATAAAAATTGCCACGGAAATTTTGTAGTAAACTCTAGCCCGAGAATGACCGTTGTACTGTAAAAATTATTTGTTATTATTATTTTATTATCTTCACGCCATTGCAACTCTTCTACACTGCGCTTTAGTAGATAATACACCTATTATGACCATGCTCAACATTAGTGAAGTTATTTCTATATGGCATGTCAATGGACTAAAACGCACAACACAATTGGCTCCTCAATACATTATTTCAAAATATAAATCAACGTCACTACTAAGTATTCCTATCACAAACAGAGGACGTAATTAGAGATCCTTATAACCTTTCTTTATAAAAATACACCAAGTCTGAGACATTTTATTTAATTCTATCTATCTATATATAATTTTAGCCATACCCAATTATATACCATTCCTTAGTTTCAGACAGTTTTTTTACAGTCTCTTGCAAGACTTTTAAAAATTCAATTTTTGCGGAACAAGAATCGCTCGCCGCTACCTTTTTCCGTTTGTTGCTTGGATGAGATTTAGTGACCGGCGCTTCGCGCTTAGCCTCACAAAGACACAATTAAGACGTTTTCATACTACTATAATTCATTTCCCATAGCATGATTCCAGTGACGTTTGAAATTTGAAGTTTCTAGAGATGCAATGATGTAAAATCTAACGAACAAAAATAGATTTAAATATCTTATCGAGATAATTTGTAACGAAGAGAGAACCGATTTACAGGAAATAATTGAAGAACAAGTAATAAACAAAATAGAAAGGATTCAATTATTATGTTATTAACTTACCAAAAAAATACATAACAAATAAAAAATCAACAACAATAAATTAAAAAGTCAGCAAAAAAGCACAAAATCAACTGCAACGAAACGTACGCACTGGTACGCGAAATACAAAACAGTCGATTCGATTTGTCGATTTTATAGTGTAAATCTCTATGGATAAAATATTCAGTTTTACGCATCAAGTTATCGGGGCGATTTATCTTTAACATTTCATTTTCTTTCCACTTAATATACTCTATTTTTTATTTAAAATTATGTAATATTGTTTGGTTTTGGTACATTATGACAAATTTACTATTTCTTTTTGTAACCTGGTTGAGAGATTAGGTAATAGTATGCGTGCTACGCAAAAATTGAAAATGTTACTGGACTCATCCTATGTGAAATGGACTATAGTGCGATGGTACACATGTGTAGTGATGATATTAAATAGACAATAATAATCAAGGCCCAGTATTAGTCATCCGTTCTCGCTTTCATTTTCGCAAAAAATGTACCATAGATGTTATGTTACAGGTAAAATTTCATGTAGGAATAATTTAAATGTCCATATGTGTCTACATAAATAATAGTATAATGAAAAGTATTTTTTCTCAAACATGCTCAGAAATGTTCGCTTTTCTTTTGAACAATGAACTCAGAGCCTGATTTTTGTCCTACCACAAAATTAAAAACAAATTACATCCCAGTGTAGACCAGGAAATCTGTTTTTTACCGCTGCGTTAAACTTATAAATATTTGGTCATTGCGTACAACATCGAAGTGACCAAAGAAAAAGTGGTCTGCTCGTTCTTTCAGCGCAATGCGTGTTTGTTTTTTAAAATGCAGTTTTTTAAAAAAGCTGTACGGTTGGTATTTGAAAGTTATTTTTGTAAACATTTGCATGATTTCTTTGAATTTATTGAGAAAAGCTCTATATATACCTCGACGGGAACGGTGATTATCTGGCTTGTATAATACAACTACTTCTTAAGTTAGAAGTTAGGACATTGAAATGGTGGCGCTAGTATTTCTAAGCCCGTAATTACACAGGTTGTCTCGCTAGAGCATAGCATGACGTCACTGGTATGATCATATAGCCGACCCGGTTTAATGCTAAATGATATCAGTCTTTTCCTTAGGGCATAAAAGGTATATCTGTGTATTTAGACCTCACTATTATCGACTTTTATTTAATATCCATGTTAGTGTTGTCAGTAGAAGAACTAGAAGCAATTTTTTGTATTGACAATACTGAACTGCGACGTCAAAAGTCGACTCTAGCACCGCTACATCATTATTTAAAATTCAGCAATAATTGAAGACTAAATCGGACACGTCTAACTTTGCGTTTGGACTGTTTTGTTTTAGGAATTCAATGACCATCAAGTGTGATTATTTTGTATGTGAAAGTATTATGATATTAATAACGTAGCGAATATCATATAGTCTCAACGGCGCCCTTCCGTTTCGGCCGCGATTCGCCCGATATGAACGAAGTTTCTTCAGATTTTTCTTTGACGATGACGGGTGGTTTCTTTTGCGACGATGTGCTTGGTTGGCTCTGTCAACGATTGAAATAAAAAGTTTGTTATTTGACAGCCGATTTCTGAATTTATGTATTTAACCAAGAATACAATAAATCGATGGTAGACACCTTCTAAATAATTACCAATACACCATTTTTAAACCATTTCCTTTTTGTTTTGTTATATTTTAAAATAAACCTTATAACAATCAGCGACGATCATAAACTTGTCAACAAACTGGAGCTACCCTGACCTGTATTGTGTTGTGATACATACATGTATAATGAATAAATGGATATTTCACTTTAAGCAGCTGCTCTAGTTCAGCTACCTCTTATACTGTACTATTTCCATCGAGTATCTAACCAGAAATAGAGACGAAATAAGGGTCATCCATCCCTGGCAACTCATCAGGAACATAGGTCTTATATCTCTTTTAAATATCAACCCTCGCTTGCACTGAAATCACAAATTAGATAGATGAAATAGTACAGCGTCAACAACTGACCTGTGTGTACGTCTTCGTATATTCCAAAAATATTCTGTATTTATTGTAATAAAGATAATATCCCTAACTATGGGGAGCTATTCCATTTGATGGTGTGGGAAAAAGAGCAATACATCTAATTACAAAACAAACGGAATCACATTTCATCATAAATATGTAATTTTTCAATTTTCGTCCATTATAGTAAAGCTCAAGCTAAACTGGTTGATTTGAAGTGAAACATTTGACGACACTCGTCAATTGTTTCGAATTCGGACTGGCTGGCCAATCGGAGCGCAGTTGTCACCGTAATGATATAGCAGATTAGTTTTCAAACAAATTAAATGACATTTCTTCTCTATTTCTGGTTATATACTCGATGACTATATCATAATTATTAATGTTACATAATACTATTCTCTTTTCTCTTTGGTTTCATCGCGAATCGAGTGGCATCGTGTGTAAAGCCTGTAAAGGATACAATTTGATTGTCAAATTTACACTTCAAACTACTCGTTTCCCTCAAACAATGACTCAAAAGAACATCAAATAAATTTGACATATTTACCTGTAGTTCAGACTAAGCCTTTAGGCGACAACTTACGTATTGTTTGATAAAACATGCCAGCATTTTCAATTTTGTTTGTCAATTACGCTGGCAATCTAGATTTTTATCAAACACGTAGATTATTTGACAAATGCTTCAGACGACGTCTTGCAGACGATCAAAAATTCTGACATTTTTTATTCAAGCTTAGCCTCAATATCCATCGAAGTGGAGGGAGGAACAATGTTTTCATTAGCTCAGAAAAGTCTTCAGTTCCTTTTGCCCTGATAATTAAATATTATTGGTGACTGAAATACAACTCTGCTCTGTTTTTATTAAAAATAAACGTTACAATTGAAACTTTTGAAATTAGTATATTGACACTGACTCCTGTAACACAGGTTACAACCTAGCTCAGGTGTCAGGGACTTCACTAGTGTGTTGTAACTATTTTCTAACAATAAACATTATTATTATAAAACTAGCAGGTACAGTATTTTAAAAAAACGGTGGTGCTGTTCTATAATAGTGATGTTATTCAAAAGTGCGACTATACCAGCACGGTAGCAGTGGACGGCGTAGCAGTAACATTATTCAATCGTTTGATGTCCTCCAGAGGTATTTCTTCGGAGCGTAAGCGCGGCGATCCCTCACGAGATCCGTGGGTGCTGCTGCTGCGGGAGACGCTGCTGTAGATACACAAAAATTCAAACTATGTTAGGGATTGTTAATCGTCACTACTTCACTGCGGCATCACAGAGCAATGATCATATCTCAATTATACTTCATTTCAATCCATTTGAAACAAAAAGTAAACAAACAAGTCCTGACCATACACCGTTTAGTGATGGCCAATTCTACTGTCAACTACAAATCGATTAATTAATTAAACGAATCGATTTGTTTAATTGAGTCTTACTAGCGGTTTTGCTTACATAACCTATAAAAACATATTTAAAATTTCCGAAAACTTAATTTAAAATCTTTCAAATCCTTACACTTAGAAACTCGTTCGATTGTGATTGAAAGTTTCGATTTACTAATCGATTACAAAAACTTGAATTAAGTGAACCGAATGTTTTTTTCCGTACAGCACTATGCAACCATTTTTCAAATACGATTTTGCGATGTTATTAAAATGAATACGTTGGCAAAAGTGATGAGATTTCAAATCAAAATCTTCGAAGTATACGTGAAAGTGTTACTTATTCGATTCAATGAGTGATTGCTTTAAAATTTTAACCAAAGTGTTTTTTAATTTTTCGTTTATAATAATAATAATAATAATAACGCACACACTCAACATAGCCCCGCACTAGGGAAACCCTGTGTCGCGGGTGCCATGGACACACACATAGACAACCACAAATTACACCCAAACTCACGAGAGAAATAAATGTAGGCCATACACATATTTCTCCCGGCCTGGGAATCGAACCCAAGACCTCTGCATGGCAGTCCGGCGTGGTAACCGTTCGGCCACGGAGGCAGTTAAATAAATAATGGATTGGAACAGACTATAGGCCAGTAGTAATCTCTGCAGTAGAAGGAATAAGAGTGGAAACTAACCTTTCTCGGCTGGTGGTCCGTTCTCGGTACACGACAATGCCGTCTTTGAGCATGTGACCACTGGGTCTGCGCAAACGACGGTCTGTATCGTCGCTTTCGCCTATATAACAAAGAAATGGTATATTCAAATGACATGTAACACCAATTGCCAATCGAATACCTTATAAGTGACACTGATCAATAACGCCCGTCTACGTAGTCAAGTAAAATTGCGCAGCTAGTACAGTCCGATACATTCAGGTCGTAACTTTAAATAATACGTACCTGAAGATCGTCTAATAGCAGACAAACCAGGGCGGGCGAAAAGTGGACGATGTCGCGGGGCGAGCGCAGGCGCCGTTATGCCTGACACTTCTAGTAGACGACCGATCTGGTGCATTTTCTTTTGCCGGGACTTAGTACGGCCCTGTAATTGAGAAAGCTTTTATTAAATATTTGGGAAACTCCTAGAAATGCCTTTCTTAAATAATAAAAATAGTTGAATAGTTCGGCTCCCGTAATATGGCTGCCGTGGTAGTGATATACGTGGTCCAAACCCAAAATAGCTTTTTTCTTATTTATTACGAGATACCAGGTTAGGCAGAGTACATTTACCTTAACTACAAGTTATACACATGCAGTGGTTAATACCTATCTCGGAAATCCCGGAATAATAATAAATGCAAAAACATTTTTCTATTTTATATTTCTACTTAAAATTACGAAACTTTTCTTCAAATATACTACCGTAGTAATAGATAGTTTCTAATAGATCAGCACGGACAATATAGCTTTAAATATTAGTTCTACGGACCCAAACATAAATGGCGTCTGTGCTCACACTACTCAAACATTTTCACATCAAAAACATACAACAAAATACAATACAATAATTCAAATATATAATCTGAACCATCCGTTACATCATTATCAACCAATACGTCTCACTGCTAGGCACGGGTATCTTCTAATCATTTTGACCAGTACAGCAAAGAGTGTGAAAAATAAATTACGTTAAAACTACGTTAAGAGGGCACCGAGCTCCTGGCGCTAAGTGATTTTAGGTATTCTATGCGCACCGTGTATGTGTGCTTGTGGCATACGTTTTTAAAGCCCAAGCGACACAGCCTGGCCGTCTGACGGCCGAAGCAGGATTAAAGCGGACAAGGGGAAGTGGCGGCTCTGTCTAGTATGGGCTGGCTGACCGCGTGCGAATTTAGGTTTTTTTTTGTATAATTAAAACAAATACACATTTTGAAAATGTACGCAGTATACTTTATAGAAAAGATGTAGTATTGTTATTATTAAAAAACTGATGACCTTCCATGAAGTATTTACGCCGTACTAAGAGCTTATTTTGTTTTTTAAAGATAACTCTGGATTTTTGGTTCTAACAAGGAAACTACAAGTAATCGTGTTTCTAAAGAGTGTGATTTATAGCGTGATTCATAATTTTTTTATACATTAGTTTCATAACTAAAGCTTTAGTAATAACGATAAGAGAAACGTCACCTTAGTCAAGCGTTGTTTAGCTGCCATGCTGCGTATATGGTCGTCGAACTTGAACTTTGCCCTGAGCAGCACCGTGCGCGGCAGCGCACCGCTCGCGCCCACACGCGGCTTGTGTATTGTCAGGTGCAGGCAACGAGGGTCGTCTTTGTCGCCTTGGATCTATGCAATTAAATACGTCATACCACATTAACAAAAATAATTCATACTGCCTAAATTCAATAAATATTACGGAAAAAGAAATTGGAAATATTTGTTACCCCCATTAAGGAACAAAATGAGTAAGGAATTTATATTATTATTTGCTTATTCCACGCTTCTGTACCTGTATAAGGCTCTAGGTGAAACAAGAATATATTATGGACTTAGTAGTTATGGTAGCACCCGTAAATCGCATCTTGATCCTATATATAGACTGCAAGTGAGAATTCTTAAAAGTATCACACCTAACAATATTAAAAATAGATATCAAGATGACGACTTAGAGTTATTACGTCATTTCAAAATTATACCCATACGCGATCAGGTCCAAATACATTCTGCTTTTGGAAAACCTCTTCGATCTAAATTTACAAAATATCTTTATACTAAAACTGAACACACGAACTGCGTCAAAAATTACATTAAAAATACCAAAGTATAAAAATTTATATGGAAAACAATTATTGCAATATCAAGTACCTAAATTAATAAATGAACTACCTGTACAACTCAAAACTGAAATTAGTGAACACAACATTAAACATAAACTAAAACAATATTTTTTTAAATAACTAAAGTGTTTAGTTGCAAAATAAAGAACGCAACAAAATACTTCCGTGTTACGCCTACAAAAAAATAACTCTGCAATGTCTGATGTATTTGGTGCACTGTGAATATTGTAAATCTAGAAACAGCAGATGGGATTGATTTTTGACCCACATTTTTGTTTTTTATTTTTCATTGTTGTTATTTTACTTGCAGTTTAAGTAGCAAGAATTTAGTTAGGTAATATTACAAATGAGTCACGTTATTATTTTGTTTGTATTTTTTTTATTGCTATTGTTTTTTAATAATTTAGTTTGTAACTTTTAATTTATTTACCGCGATGGTGAACAGGTAAACCAAAAATGGTTTTTGTTACACCGTTACCAGCCTAGATTTAAGTTCTTCTTTTTGTACCTGTTTTTAATAAATAAATAAATATGCAATTATCAAAACAACAAACACTGTAAATCATACATTAAGTAACATTTATTGAAAACTGAAGATGTAAACTTTATTTTGTAATTTGCTTAATTTGTTATTATGTGCATATGTAAGTGAGAATGTTTTTGTACCTGGCTTGATGTAATTAAGTTAGTTTTGAAGATTCTTGCTCTATTAATATTAATTTTTACTTAAATTAGACTGAACTGCTTCGCAGCGAATAAAGCCGGAAGGCCTTTTGTGAGCGAAGCTAGTAATTAGTAAATAAGTATTTTGTTCTGTATTTTGGTCAATAAACTAAAAAAGAAAATAATCAAATATTGCAATGCAATCGCATAATTATCAGCAAAGTTTTGCATGAGTACAAAAACGGAGGATGCCTTGTTAAAGCTACAAATTTCTTGCGAACACAACACCACCGGCGATATCTGTGTGACTTATGAGTACTTATGACATGATAGCGTAATAGTCCGTAGAGAAAAACATTTTCAAGTCCTTTTGTCTATTATAACAAGTGTTGCACCACAACATTTTTCTCTCCGGTTTCTTTACTTACTAACAGACAAATAATTATTGTTTACTAAACACATAACATAATCCAACTCCACAATAGCTTTTTAGACAGCTTAACGGTACCGTGTAAAAATCAGACTTTGGACACACCCTTTTTGGAGGGCTGTACCTACCACAACATTAAGCTTGTTGGTCATGAATAAGATGAATAAGAAAAACAAGGAAATTAACTCCCGAAGACACCACCCACCCCGAACATATAAAATACAGAAATTTTGGTTTCTGGGGTTGTTGATTTGCTCCTTGTAGGAGTCGAATTTGAGCCGCATTATTTAGCGCTCTGGCAGTTAGCTACCACAAAGGTCATATTTAGCAAAATGTTAAAAATAGATCTGTAACATTCGCCTTGAATTTTGTACGCGCATAAATGTTACAATAATAATTATGCTTTATCGACAATTAAACTATTTTTTCGATTTAAATTGAGTATAATATTAGATTTTTTTACACAAGCATTTTATATTACACTTTTAATTTAAAACTATATTATTATGGTACTTACGAATATTAGCTAGAAAATAATGTTCTGTGTTAAAAATAACATATAAAAAATGAAAACTTATTAAAAAAAAACTAAGTGAAAAATGTGTAATATTGGCATTTTTCAATTTTTATATATTATTTACAAGATAACATTAATAATTATTTATATATTTTTTTTATTACTGTGCACAGTTCTTATAGAATGTAGATGTAACGATAAATTTATTTATCCTGTTTATTAATAATGTCGTATGGCACCGATTACATAAAATTGACTGACGAGTGTAACCGGTGCCATACGTAAAATAAAATAAAAATCTATATTTACGTAACGGGTTGGCGAAGTGTGTTTTTATAACAAGGCCCATACTGAAAAAAATGGATTCAAAATATAGTAAATACAATTTTGATAAACATATACGTACCTCTAAGTCCTGTAAACTACCAACGAGCTTAGCAACGCCCCAACCCAATCGTTGTTTGTCGGGTTCCACGAGAATAATTTGAATGTTATCTACCGCTAAAAAACGGTGATGCCACGTGCCGTCCTTTTGGATTATATCGCACGATATGAGATCGGAGTCATCTGCAATGATTATGAAATTGTATTATAGTATCAAGTCGTAAATACCACATCAGGAAAACTCTAAAAACTACGAATATTTCGCTGTTGTCGGGTCAATTGCATTTTGTTTTTGGCTTTTCGCGGTTATTGTTTCAGCTACTTATATTTTATATTTTTGTCTTTGAAATGAAGAAACGTATAAAAAGGAAATTTGGCAACAGGATTAGGAGGATGGAGACAGAGAAAAAAAAGAGATCAGGCAAGGAAATATGAGCCATAAACAAATAATTAGTATAAAAATAAAGTCACAGTCCATATATTGTGTAAATAAATAAATGGTATTAATCAGTTGTTTTTACCGTGGATCAATAACTCAAGAGGATTGCTAACCTCAATACTAAAGATCGTAACTCTGAAAAAGGTCAAAATCTTTTATATCTAGATGACGCTGATCAATAGCTTGGAAGAAGTTTAAATTATGTTTATGGCCGTGGATATCAATTAATTCATTTTAGTATGAAACAGTCACTTTTTCTCCTTGTAATTATTATTCAAATATTGACCATGAGCCAAAATTATTTCTTACCTTTGACAAATATATCAATCATGTATCATTAGAGGGCATTGTGTGTTACAAAATCAAATAAAAATTAATGCTTGCTAATACGTCTGGTCTTCAATTCAATTCAATTCAATATTCTTTATTGCACAATAAACAAGCAAAAATACAACACAATCAAAAATACAGTGTACAACAGGCGGCCTTATTGCTAAATAGCAATCTCTGCCAGGCAACCTTGGGGTGATAGGATAAACTAAAAGTAGTAATAATAATAGAGGGCGCAATAAATATGATATTATTATTAAACATCATAATATATGAATGAAATAAATAATAAATATCTGCTAACATATAAATTACATAAATACTTAAATACTAATATAATACATACAAATAAATATATTATCACCACAGAAGAGGAAAATAAAAAAAAAAAATTAAAAAAAAAACCAATAAATAAGACAGCAGAGTAGAATTTATAATTTAAGGTAATGAGCCTTGACTAGGATTTTAAATGACTCAATAGTCTTTGCTCGTCTGATCGACTCAGGCAGGTCATTCCACAGCTTGATGCTCCTAATAGTGAAGGAGTTGGAAAAGTATTTTGAGGAATGGATAGGACAGTTCAGAGAAAGAGTAGAAGAAGAGCGCAAGGTGCGAGGGAGAGTACTGCTATGATATTCAAAACAACTCTTAAGATAAGCAGGAGAAGTTGGATTAAAAAGGACAGTGTACAGTAGGGATAAAACGCGGAGATCTCTACGACGACGAATGGGTAGCCATCTAAGTTTCGAGCGAAAATCGGAGACGTGGTCAAATTTACGTAACCCAAAAATGAACCTAATGCAAAGATTCTGCAGCCGCTCTAGTTTGCCGAGGAGACATTCAGACAAATCGGGATAGCACGCATCTGCATAGTCCAGAATAGGCAAAAGGAGTGATTGTGCTAAACTGATTTTCGTCGGAATGGGAAGATAATTACCTAAACGCCGAAGAGACCCATGCGCAGCAAACACCCTCCTACTTAACTCAGTGACATGAGGCCTCCACGATAAGCACTTATCGAAAATAACCCCAAGGTTCCTAACGGTGGCACTGAGTGGGATTTGAACGCTATCAAACGTGATAGGTGGCAGTAAGGAAGGATTAATACGCGTTAGGAACCAGGGGCTGCCAATGATTATACATTGTGTTTTGGAAGGGTTGACACTGAGACCAAATGATTGACTCCAGGTGAGGATCCTCTCAAGATCTGTATTCGTAGCACAAATTGCGTCACGTAAGTTGGTTAGAGGGGCCCGTGTATATATTTGGAGATCATCTGCATAGAGATGGTAAGAAGAAGAAAGTGAAGAAGTGATGGAGTTAATAAAAATAGAAAATAGAAGAGGGGATAATACGCCGCCCTGCGGTACACCAGCAACAACATTACACCACGAAGAGAATGAATCCTCGCAACGAATGCGCTGTCGCCGCCCATACAGGTAACTGCGGAACCAGCCAGTCACTGCCCGAGAAATGCCAAGAGAATCAAACAGCGCAAGCAACAAGTCGAAATCAACGGTGTTGAAGGCACTGCTGAAGTCCAACAGAGTAAGGACGGTGAGTTGATGATTCTCCATTCCCAGTCGAATGTCATCAGAGATTTTGACAAGAGCAGTAGTCGTACTATGTCCAGAGCGGAAACCGGATTGTAAAGGATTAAAAAGATTGTGACGAGTAAGGAAAAGGGTGAGTTGATGATGGACAAGCTTTACAAGGACCTTGGAGAGGAAAGGGAGAATGGAAATAGGGCGATATTCAGAAAGGGAAGAGGGATTCGTTTTCTTTGGAAGAGGAATGATGTGGGCATCTTTCCAAGCAGATGGAAAGGTACCAGTGGAAATGGATGTATTAAGGATTTTGGTTATGACAGGAGTGAGGATATCAATGAGCGGAATGATCACATTACGACTAATGCTATCACAACCAACGGCATTCGATGAGATGGAGAGAATGTTCCTCTTGACATCACCAACAGTGAACTGGCTGAGTTCAAAAGAAGGAATATTAGGTAATGGCAATTCAGAAAGAAATTGCAGAGTATCTGACTTAACCTTGTTATCAATAGAAGAAGAAGAGGAGAAGTGAGTATTAAGGAGATTAAGGTCAACGTCAATAGAAGTTTTGCTATTAGGAACTTTTCCAATACCTAAAGATTTCAAAAACCTCCAGACCTTCGCTGGGTCCCCGTTTTCAACGGCTTTATGTACATGACGACGTTGTGCATCTCTAATAATAGTGTTACAGCGGTTTCGAACTTGATGATATTTTTCCCGATTGGCATCAGACGGGTCGGCTCTAAACACTATTTTAGCCCGGTTTTTGATGCCCATATGCTTGCGGATAACATCATCGAGCCAAGGAGCAGGAAGGTGCTTGACGCGCACAGGACGAACAGGAGCATGGATATCATACAGTTGAATGAGCGAGGAATTAAAAAGTTGCAACTGTTCATCAACTGAATCGGCCTGTTCAATAACTGACCAGTCCATGGCACTGGCATCCCCACGCAGTCTGGTAATGTCAATATTGGCAAAATTTCTTTGCATTAGAATTTTGGGCTTTGGCTTAGGAGGACGAACCTTATACGAAAGGTACACTAGATCGTGGTAGGAAAATGCCTCTGCAGTAAACTGACCATGCTTGTCGACGTGATTAAGTGAGGAAACCACTATCAAATCTAAAAGAGAGGGCAAACAATTAGGAAAGTGATGAGTTGAAGATAGGGGCAAAACATGAAGATTACTAGAATTGACAACAGTATGAAGTTTATTCGTGCGAACATCATTCTTCAAGAGGCAGGTGTTGAAATCCCCCATGATAATGGTGTGGTCATACGATGGTAACAAGTCTTCAAGAAGATTTTCGAAGGAGGGGAAGTAGTCTATTGTAAGAGAAGGACTATAATAAACACCTAGAAGAATTTTTACATGTGAAAGCGTTACCTCAAGAAAAAGATGCTCAGCCGTATTGGGAGGTGGTGGTTGAACAGATTTACTAATAATTTTGAAGGGAATGTAGCTACGCAAGTAAATGGCTACCCCGCCGTGAGATGAACTTAATCGATCATTGCGAATTAAGTGGAAACCAGGTAAGGAGTAAGAAGTAGAAGAGAGACAAGAATTTAGAAAAGATTCAGAAACAAGGATAGCGTGAATATTACTTACATCAAAAGAGGCAAGTAGGTCAGGATAATGAGCCGGAATGCTCTGTGCGTTGATGTGAGCATCATTAAAATTACGTGGCACATCAGAAAAGATGGATTCCAAATTTTGATGTAAGGAAGGGGGTAAGCTGTGAAAGCTGTCCTCGTCTGACGAGCAAGAGACAAAATAATCACTATTATTGCATAACGAGATATCCATGGTGTAATAAATAAATAATAATAATATACTAAATTTATAATATAAGTAGTAATAAGTACTAAAATTGACAGTTTAATCTGTAACCCGCCAGCAGCCAAGAATAAAACAATGAGTGAAATAAACAATAAAATATGTAACAAAAATTAAAGCACAGTTCAATCAAAGAATAAGAAAAAAAAACACAAAACGGAACGCAACAAACATACAATGTTGAGAACAAAATAACACACTGAACGCATCGTTACGAGAGAAAAAAAAAAGCAGTTTTTGTGACAAAAATAGGGACATAATGGTAAAAATAGTAAGAGACAACATTACTCTCGAATACACTTTCTAAGTTATGGTTTTGACGTATCTAAACTTATTTAATCAATTAATTGGTACAAAAAAAAACTGTCATATGACAGAAGTATTCCAAACTTAATGATTTTGTTCAAACAAGTGGTTAGACATGTAATTTTATAATACGAAAGTAAGAAAGAAGGTACTACTAGTTTGTGAAAGGTACCGATATGAAATTTAGAAAAAGAGCGTCATACCCGACACACCGGCGATCGGCAGATATATAAAAATAGAAATATAGCCTTTTTAACACAGGTTACAAACACAAATCATAAACGTAAGCTACACACAAAAGAAAGCGAACACACTTATTTTCTTGCAAGTTCCCGCCGTGGTCTAGGCCTAGAGCCTCCAGCTGGGTTCGCCGCCACCTTGACTCCACCAACTGGTTTGCTTTGTTGCAACTCCACAGTCCGAGCATGATTTGCGGCCGGAATACGCTCAAGGTCGTCAAGAGACGTAATAGAGTGTCGCTTACCATCATCGCCTATGGCCACAATGCGGCCACCGCTGGTCCAGCACTTGGAAATGCCCAGTTTCTCACGAGCAGCTACAAAAATCCTATGGCGCCTCCTTGTCAGAAACTCTGAAACCGTAACTCCAGTACCTTTCAGGCCGGTTTTCGAGAACCATGTCTCATCACGTATCTGTACACTGCTAAACTTCACAAGAATGGGCCGGGGTTTGTTAGGTGAAGAACGCCCCATCCTGTGGGCACGACTGATGTGTACCGGCCGCAGGCATAGCGAACTCAGATGCTTATTAATGACACCTGTAACAGCTTCAAGGGTATCTTCATCCTTAGCGTCTGGTACTCCATGGAATAACAATATTTTCCTGCGGCTACGCATCTCCATGTCGTCGCATTCATTTGTCAGAATGGACAATTGCTTCTGAATGTTGCTGAAAGATGACACCACAAAAGTCTGGAGCTGTTTAAACTCTGCAGCAATTGAGTTGACGGAGGGCACTTTCTCAGGGGAGACCATCTGCAACCTCTCTTCAACTGCTGCCAACTTTGAGGCAAATGTTGCAGCCAAAGCATCAATACTATTTTGAATGCTGTCCATTGTTAATGTTGTAAAAGTGCAGTGATTGAGTGTTAAAGGAAACTCACTGACTGCAGGCAGGTAACATGTACTAAACTTTCATAGTTAAGATAATATTTTGGTCGAAAAAATGTAGATAATTAATTTTTATTAATTAAATTGCCAAGGCGTACGCAAATCGCGTCTACTCGACTTGACGCCTACCCTCGAAAAAAAAGTCTTGTACTATGGGGTAACTCAGTAATCTTAGAAAGAGCGTTTAAAGTCCAGAAGAAGTGTATTCGAGCAATTGCGGTTCGTGGTTCGATGACAGTTGCAAACCGCTGTTTAAAAGGCTGAACATATTATCTTTGCCATGCATGTACATTGGGGATATCTGCGTATTTGTCAACTCTCATCCTCAATATTTTAAAACACGCGGTGAAGTCATTCAAAGGCAAACTAGAGCAAAAATTATGAATCTCTTATACCAACCTCGTTGCCATAAAGTAATTTATAAGAATAACTGCTTCAACGTGTATGTAATTATTTACAATAAACTACCAAACGAAATTAAATTGTTACAAGGACATACTTTTAAATTAAAATTGACAAAATGGCTTTTGACACATTGCTTCTATAGTAATAAAGAATACTTAGAATTTACAAATTCATTACATTAATTAGAAACTATAGAGACTAAAGAAACATAGAATCCTATTAATATTTGCACATCTGCTTGCAGGTTGCATACAATGTACCTAATTTTACTTAAGACCTTTGTAATTACTGTATTCTGGCAAATAAACGTATTCTATTCTATTATATTCTATTTTACGGGTAGATGGCGCCAATCCTAAACAAAATAAAAGAATAGCGGGCTGTACATAAAAATTTGTGAAATAGCGCCATCTAGTTGATTTGTTTGTTATCACTAGAAACCACAGATTATTAAATGCTAATGCTAGAAACTGAGAATAGCTTTGATAAATTGCAGTTCGTCAATTTAAAACAAATTAGTTACAAAAATATCTATTTGGTACTCATCGCGACATCTGTATCTGGTTCTTGAGTTATTGGTTCATGGTTCATACAAAAACTCATGTAATATTCTGAGGTGCTATCTATTGGCGCAGCATTGATCTATGTAGTGGAGGGCCAGCATTTGAAGAATAAGAATAATTACGACAACCATGTACCTTCTGTATATGTATACTCCGTTCCAAACATTTTAAACATAAAGTAAACAAATAAGTCACTGACCCGACCATAGTAATGGCCAATTGTAATGCCAACTACAAATCGATTAATTAATTGAATCCTTTTGTTTAATTGAGTCATTCCGTAATCTTAATTTTAAATCCTCCTTCAAATCCTTACACTTAGATACTTGTTCGATTGCGATTGAAATTTTCGATTTACTAATCGATTACAAAATCTTTAATTGAATGAACCGAATGTTTTTTTTCGACAGTACTATGCAGCCACAAACAAGTCATAGTTGTATAGTTGAAAATTAACCTCACTTTTGGACTACCATTTTTTCAAATATGATTTTACGACGCTATTCAAATGAATATCGTTAAAAGTTAATAAAAAAAAAGTGATACGAGTCAAAATCTTCGAAATATATGTGAGTGTTACTTATTCGATTTATTGACTGATTGCTTTAGAATTTTAACCAAACAGTTTTGTTTACAATGTATTGGAACAGACTATACATATGTATTCATTGACCTACAATTATGTGGACGTCGGGTCCGCGCTAAAAAGTGTCCGCACTTTTAAGGCGCTAAAATCGTATACAGAGCGCGACACTCCGCTTTTGTCTTCATTTGTACTACTGACAGCCCGATACTGCGATGACATTACAATTTAAATTTCGAATAGGTTGGCTTGGGACATTTTTTTTCGTGGTTTTTGTATTAGACCCGTCGTCCATTTATTTGTAAATCAATGTATGTATTACATTAACTTTCTTTCCTTCTGTATTTGAATTTTCTATATGTCAACATTAAATTGATATATTCCGTAAATGTTTAGCAAATAATGTTAAAGTACTTCGTTTAACGTCAGTCCGCCCTCACATGTTCAGTACAGTTGCTAAAGCAACAAAGACAAAAAACATATCATTGGTGAGATTGTACGAGTTGCTTAAATCAGGTTGTAGGTATACTCACTAAGGTCAAGTACATCTCCAACTTGCACGAATGGCGCAGGATTGGTTAGCGGAAGCTGCGTCTCTGGCTTGCCCGTTAGCTTCAAGTACAGGTCTCGGATGAGGAAGAACGTCCTTATCGCGCGACGGGCACGCTCCATCTGCGAAGTATAAAACCCCTTGCGTTCAATGCTTTTGGAATAATAGCTCGTAAAATAGTAATATTTAATAAAAAGTGTACAGTACAAGTAATTTTTATAATTTGTATTAGACAATTTATATTTAAATAATAATTGCCTCCATGGACAAACGGTTACCATGCTGAACTGCCATGCAGAGGTCCCGGGAAAGAAGAAATATTTATACGGTCTATATTTATATTTCTCGTGAGTTTGAGTGTAATTTATGTCGACTGTGAACTGGCAATCGGTACTATCTCAAGTTTGACAAATGTACAGGGTAAACAAAAAAATTGTTTGCGTCATTTAGCATCTGATTTATTACATAAAAATACGTTTTTAAATATTTTTATTACACATACATTACGTATTTTATTTTATTTAATAAACCTGATGCTACATAAATGGCGCAAACATTTTTTTTCTTCATCGTGTAAAGTTGTCAAAATTGAGGTAGTACCGGTTGTCAGTTCACAGTCGCTCTGTGTGTGTCCATGGCACCCGCGATACAGGCTTTCCCTAGTGTGAAGGTATGAGTGTGTCCGTTATTATTATTATTTCGGAAAGTCCAAGCTTCGTAGCTCTGAGTTTTACGAATGTGGACGATTCCAATGCTGTAAAACAATAATATAAAATTATGTTTTAACGGATTAAAGAGTTCTAAATAACGAATTTATGTATATTTGCTGTTTCCGTTAAATCCGAAAGATTCCGAAGTCTCAGGCTTAAGAAAATAGTACTGTAGTTTTAACATTTTTTTTGTAATATCAACACGAACAAGTCGTGCGCCTGGTGGTAAGCGACCATAATGCAGTGCCACTCAGAGCTTTAAATCGCAAAGATCTTAAGGGCACTGCCATTGCCCCCGTCACTATGAGACAAGTCATATTGACAACTCCCTCACCCTTCAAAACCGGAACACAGTAATGTTCACATTACTGCTTGGCGGTAGAAACAGGTAACGTGGGCAGTACTTTCCTGGACGAACTCCTTCACAAGAAGCTCTACTAAAAACAACTGTTTCTAAATCATGTCTACAAAAGTTGTTGGGTTCTATTAATTAGTATCCAAAATAGGAACAAACTTTGTTTATATAGCGCTTGTAATACAACCGTCTTAATGGAAAATTCTTTGCTTAGCTGATTTCGGGTCTTATGTTTAACTTTACTGAGACTGAACTACGTTTATTCGAAGAATAATATTAAAATAATACCTCTCCACTGGGCAGACGCTTGGCGAATGCAATTCCGGACATTGGCGTCCGTGTAGGTGGGAGAAGAATGGCCGCGTCCATACACAACCATTCTACGTTCAGAGGTCGTTTGCTCATCTCGCAGTACCTGCATTAAATTAAATATTGCAATTTTATGACATGTACAGAGAGTTTAAAGTTAAAAGGCTAATTCTACAATAGAATTACAACCACTTTTGAAGAAAAAATATCATATATTTCTCACAGAGGGCGTTAGGGTAAAAAAGACATTAAACACCAAAAACAAAGATAGAACAACCACATAGTAAAGTTTGTAAGGTCCGTTGGATTGTTCCGTATTGTGTAGTTGGCATAGCGTCTAGCACGGTTTGCTAGAAGACGTTGGTTCGAACCAAGCCATAACGAAGGATTTTTTTCTTAATGTTTGATCTTTGTATTAATAACTATATCAAACTAGTGGAGTCATTTCACAAAAAATACTTGTATATCACGTTGGTGAAACATCCTGACATACAATTAACTTAATTACAATTATTAAAGCAACATCTGTAGTCATCTGCTGGTAGCTGTAAAGCTACCTCGCTGAGTGAACAAATAGATTTCTCAAAGATGGCGCTACGGTAAAAGTCGTTAAAAATCAAAACAAAGACCTGCAATAAGCACAGAAAAATTCGTAAGGTCTGCTGGTTCGAATCCAGCCGGATCCAAGGAATTTTTGTTAGTGTTCTATCGTTGTATTAATAATTATTGTAACTACTTTTGTTTGGCAAATTTTAAAGGCCAAATAAGCAGAAGTAGAGCACAGCTACTGCTTTGAAAACTCACTAGTAGTTGTACTCACTCATCCTCAAACATGTCCAAGAATATGTCGTCACACTTGTAGAAGTTTCTAGCCAGGGCAGCAGCGCGCTGCCGCAACGCGTCGGCTGCCGCAACGTGTCGATCGCCAGCGACGCCGCTCGCACCTTGCATGGCCACGCGTGCCAGAGTCACGCTCAACTCAAGAGTTACCAATCGGACTTTTGAAGCTGAAACATTATTTACAACTACTTAATGATAAATTCCGACATAACGAATGTCCTGTGCTTCTCGGTGCCGAGAAATACGCATATGCGAAGTTCTCGTCGTTTTGGAATATTTGCACTTATGTCCTGTAGGTCAAATTCTGGTATACGCGCTCCTCTAAGGCGACTATTTCAAAATTATATATTATAATATGTTCCGATATTAGCTATTGGCGGAAGTAGACATTTTTGGTCTGTCCAAATACAATTTTAAGAGGGCGGTTACTGAAGCATTGGGTATGACATGGTTGTGAAACGATTTTTTTTTTTGTTAATTGTACTTAGTAACGTTATTAAGTTTGCTTGTTTCTTAAACTTATTTTCTTTGTCAGCATTGTACTTTAAAAAAAATACACTAGCGATTATGCTTCAATTGAAAATTTTATATTTTTGCAGCAATCTGTGGATGATGTGGTTGACTGTACAATTAGCTAAACCGATATTTTTAATCTGTATGTACAATTGTTTGTTAATCCTCAATAAATAAAATAAAAAAATAAATAAAATAACATTACGGCGTGTTGACAACGTTCTCTACGCGATAAGATAAGAAATGTTAAGCAATACGCTTGTGAACCAAAGTCATCGACGTGGGCCTATGGATTGCCAAACAGAAGTGTCAATGGGCTGGACACGTATGTCGCAGAGACGACTGACTGTGACCGTCAGGTTGGCTCGTCGCTTGTGGCGTCTGGCACTGAGATACGAGAAGTTCTCACTGGAAATGAGACTGTATATTCAAGAATTGCTACCTATTTGATACCTTTTCTACATAATTGCTACCTTTGATATATTCTGAGAAATTTAAAAAAATAATTGACCAGCCATTCTGATATCAGGATGGCTGGTCCCCGCTTTGTTCGGCATGAAGGAAGCAGATTTTCCAGAAGTATGTATTACCAATAATAGCTACCTATTTGCTACTTTCACGAATTAAAAGTATACGCTTCCTATCTACATTAGTTAAAAAAATATAAACGATTAAAAATTTTATGTTTATTTTATGTCAGAATGGCTGGTCAATTTTTTTTATTTCTCTGAATATATTAAAGGCAGCAATTATTGAATATACACACTCAGTGCCAGATGCCACAGGCGACCAGCCACCCTGACGGTCACGACACGCAGTTTATACAGAGTCGACTGCCGGTTCTTCGGCAAGCGATTTCGGCAGTGTTTACACTTCAAACATTTCAAACTTCTGAACGTTTCAAAATATAAGTTGTCTCATGTTTATTTTTTAAATGGCTAAAGTATTTAAATACGTAAATACCTGTAATAAATCAACTACAATATAATTTTTTGAAATAACAATTTGTAGCGAATACTTAATAGGAAATAACAATTTGTCGCCAATGTACTCAAATTTCAATAAATAATACAAATATTCAAATATAATCAATTCTGAGAAGTGCCGGAATTTGTAGAAGGGAACGACCACGTTATTTTTTAGTTTAGCATTCCGTTCGTTGATAATCATCAAAGAAACAGATTTCCCCTGTCTTAAAAATTCAAATTTCAAATTTTTATATATAGAAATGTCGTTTAGTATACCAGTTTCAAAGTCGTATAATAAAATAGCCGTTTAAACCCAATAAAAAGATCTGTAACAAACGCAAAGAAATTCGTAACATCTGCTGACTCGCTCACTTGGTTAAAAGCAACGGCCCCTGTATGGAAACAGACACCGGTTAGAGTCCAGGCATATCGGAGGAACTTTTCTTTGTATCAATATGATACATTATATATTTGTATATGAACTAGTGGAGTATTTAAAAATATATACATATATGAAAATCATAGTATTAAAACATCATGTTATATGTAGTAGCAATAGAACTTGTGAATGTGTTCGTCGAGAGAAGTACTGCCACCCCACCTAATTTTGCTGTCAAGCAAGCAGTAACGTAAGAAATGAAATTATTTTTCCGAATTTAAATCGCGTATATTGTTTTTCAAACAAACCAACATAACAATCAACCGTGACCATGAGACCTGTAAAGACCTTGTTATATTATTATGTTCTGTACGTATTACTGTATGTGGTAAATAAACAAATAAATGGTTTAAAATGGTTTAAGTTTAACTTTGTTAGAAAAAACAAATATACGCGATTTGAATCCGTAAAAAATAGTTTAATTTTCTATGTGTAACAATCGCGAAAACCTAAGAACTCGATACAGTAATGACTTACTACTAATGACTACAGTAATAACTTTACTACGTTGTGATTTGTAAGGGTAAGTGTGCTGGTGAAATTACAGGCACATGGGAATGTTCAACTTATGTCTCAGGGTGACGGGCGCAGTGGCAGCATAATAGTTTTTGTTCAATCAAACATTGTTTACGCTTATGGCATTTAATACAGAAAATGCAATGTGTTTTGTATTATAAGTTCGAGAATGCACACGGTTCAATTTCGATATGATGTTTTAGGGGCTTAAGAAATTTCTGAACAATATTAAATTCTGCTGTTTTCGTATATCTATAATTAAATTCTGAGCGTAAGCTTAGAATAAATAATTCTCTAAATAATGTCGGTGATAATCCATATAAATAAGGTTAACTATACGTTATACGGTATACGTTGCAAACCACACTTACCAGGTTTACAACTCAAGTTAGCAATAGCCAACAGTTTAGATATGAGCAGCGCATTGAAACTATGCAAGCCTCTTATAGATGGCGTGGATGATGTAGTCCGATCTTCATTTGTTTCCCTGTCCCCCTGGCTTGCGGTACTACCAGTTGACACACTGCGTTTTCTTATGCTGTCGTCTATTTCTGGGCATAGAAGGGTGTCTAGAAGTTCTGTGTTTACTCCTGGAATTTATAAACAAACATGTGTAGTGTAGATAGACGATATTTATAGTCTAACTGCAACATATGGTACGTATTGCTTTGTTAGCAATTAAGTTTATATTTTATTTTAAATTGTATTATTTTATCACTTATATTCTGGAGACCGAACAATAAACTGTCTCTTTAAACCAACGTATTTCACTCTATCATCTGCGTCCATCCTTTTTAATAATATGTGACATGTGTGGGAAAATTTGTTGCGCCTAGGACTGCCGCCTTACAAAATAGAGTTATATCCCAAATATTAAAGAAGAAATTAATTAAGTTTTTTATTTAAAATTGAGCCGTAATAAGCCTTAGGATATTACTTATGCTTTATATTATATAAATTTATATGTGTGACGAATTACAGCGCTCTTCTAATCCGGTAATCTAATCGGTATAGGGCATATGATTATGGGTCGGTCCGGCTTTGAACTATACCTATGCAAATCCAATAAAAATAGAGAGTCAGGTGTACTTATGTATTTTTAGATTAGAACGGCAATAATAGGATATTGAGAAAGAAACGTGAACGTGATCGAAAGACAGAAAAGTATTAAACATTACATAGAAACAAGTATATCTTATTTCCTCTATAGACTATATAGCGATGATTACCAAAATGGTGTTCTACATCGACCTCCAGGGATTCACTTCATTCGAAAAGACTATGTCAGCGAAAAAATAGGGTGTCCAAGAGACGTGAATGTACGTCCACGAATGTGGAACCCATGTAGGCAGGTCGTGACCTAAATTTGACTTTCCGTGAACGAAATAATCCACATTGCATGTATTATTCTACAATAGACGAATAAATTATCTATGAAGTTCCTAAAAAGTTCACAACACAAGATATCGTTTAAATAAATATATAAAATTTAATATTAATTAGTTTTTTATTTATATAGTTATTTATCCACTAGTGTGCGCCAGCTGCCAAATAGACTTTTGAAGTTGATGAATTTGTGAAAAATTCAATAGTAGAAAGTCAGGTCTACGCAAAACAGAAAAAAAATTGGCACGTGATACACCGGACAAAAAGTTTGGGAACCTCTGGACTATAGTAACTGACATTAGGAAAAATTTTTAGTGCACCGGAATTCAGGTTTAGCAGTTTTCTCACCGTAAACTGTAGCTCGTGACAAATTGTTTAATTTTATTGGTAATATTTAATAATGTCAGTTACTGTAAGCGCGGAAAAACCAGAGAATAGGCTATTCATTTTCCTGAACAAAATTTCAATGAAGTGTTAAATTTAATGGTCTCCCTTTTATTTAAGATGCTATGTTATTTAGAAGAAAACAATCGTTATGATTGTGTCTTTCGATAAGTATAGAAAATTACATGTATTTTTTTTTCACATTTGGTGGGATCGATTATTTAAAAATGCAGTTCGATTTGTTTTTAAAATAAAAAATATGTCTTCTTTCAGTAAAATTTTCTACCTACAGTATTTAAGGTACTTTTCTCTGTGTGGCATAGCCGTTGGACACCCTTAACGTACACACAATTAACGTAGGATGTCTTGTTTATGACAACAATATCAAAAACACGGCATATAGCTAGGATTGGTGATATATAGTACCACACATTCATATCATTTATAAAAAGGCAAACAATAAAACAGTATCGGAAATACGACACGTCGAATAAAGATTACTACATTCTATAAATAAACAAACACGATACGATAATTAACCATTCCATACATATGCATAGAAATTGGCATTCAACCCAGAAGGGGAGGTCAAATATAGGACCAATACACATGCATGAAAATAAAATATCTTACCGACTAATAACCCAGGTAAGCAAAGAAAAGACAAGAAATACAATTAGTTTAGTGTTGAACGAACAAACCATACAGACAAATGTTAATGAGTTACAAGCTAAAAGGTTAGTTTCGATCTTTGCCATAGCCTTAGGCTATTAAAAAAACAAATGTAAATGTCAAAAATCGAAAACGAACCGGTCAGCTTTTAAAAATACTAGAAGTAACTTCAAATGTGGAACCCTTACCATATTTTAACATATTATTATTCAAAGTACACCTTCTTTTACTGATCGTTTCGCTACTTTTCAAGACTAGTGGCCCAAACCAAAACAGTGAATTATTTACTTATGCATTTTTTAATAAGACACCGAACTTTTAATTGGTCAAAACAGTCACGTAATAATCCTGGGCCCATATAATAAGTTTATATATTCCTCACTTTTTAAATCATATTGCCGATGAATTAGTTTGCTTTTGAGATAGCCGCTATTACAGAAAGCCATCGGTAATGGGGAAACTGGAATAAAACTTAGTCGATTTTTTAAAACGAAAACTTCAGATTTTGTTTTCAGAATCAAGTCAAGAAGCAATATCACACTGATCACGTTCGGTCCCCAATTTGGAGTCACTTCTAAAGATTTTAAACAAACGTAAATACTAAATACGCACCTTTATTGTTAATCAAAGCGAATAGTAAACAAAGCGCGAACAATGCTTTATAGTCATTCTCAAAACAGTCCAAAGAATCAAATATGGTCTTTAGAAAAGGCCTCTTTTCTATTTCTTTGTTTTCTGTTTCTAATATATATTCTAAGGTCACTTTTTCTTTATCGCTCGACGTAATCGCTGTTACACTTAAAAGCTTCTGTTTTTCCTCATCCGTGATGTTTAGCTCTAGTTTAGACGAACTTGATTCTACTCCAGAGTCCGGCAGCGGTGAGTCAGGCATGTTTTCTTTTATCGTAACAATCGACTTTGCCGAATGTATATCTGTGAGCAAATCTTCCGTTGAGTCATTCGCAATACTCGAAGAATCACTTATATGAGACGTGGACGGTAGAGATGTTGAAACTAATTCAGGATCTAAATCACAACTCGATTGATCTGTATCATATCCAAAGGCTTTTGCTCCGCTATACTCTGGAGTGGTATAGTCCCTTTCGCACCCTGATGAGTTTTCCAGCGCCTTCTCAAGACTCAATTGTGGTTTCGAGAACTCCAATTTCACATTGGACTTTGCATTGCTAATGTACATTTCTAATATTTTAGTTGCTCCGTCCTCAAATACTGATAAATCTGATTGCAGAAGTATCCACGCGAGTCCGTGAATAATGGGGCCATGCGTTATTATCAGGAATACTTGCGATAGAAGAAATAGACTAACTACACATGACACGGATGGTTTAGATTCCTCATCTTCCATTCTGTGTCTTTGGTATGCGAGTACTGGCGAATCGGTCGACTTGCCTTTCAATATAGCTTCTAAATTTCTTGTTATAGCCTCTATACTTTGAATATGATCTTTGTTGTACGGCGATGATGTCACGGATCGTTTCACTGATTCGGAAGTCAAAGAGTAAATGTACAAAGGCACTAGTAGTTTGTGCAATAGATGCTCCGTCAATACGTCGTTTAAATCTGGTATGTTTAGACACAGAATGTCGTTAATGTAGTGTAAGTGATCTAGGTGTTCGGCTACAAGACATTCTAACTTCTGATGTGATTGGTGGCTGGAAAGTAGAACCATTTAAATTATTAGGTATATGTATGTACCTATAGCCACTAAACTTGCCAGGTTATGTACAATAATTTTAAGCAATATAATATGTCATTATGTATGTATATAAATAAATATTTCGGAGCACGAAGATTTTAAGTCTACAGCAATCCTAAGAAGATGCTGAGATTAACAGAGGAACTTGAATGGCAGAAATAATACACACACATAATAACACATATCATAGAAAACAGTGTCATTACATTCACACCTACTTATGCAAATGAGCAATACGGCAAACATTCATAAACTGCAAAAGAAACTCAAGGTTACTCACTCAGCGTCGTTTCTAACACACGCGTCCAATTCCAGTATGTGTTTTCCTATGAACCAAACTAGATTGCTGAAGTATGGAGCAGCAGTTCTGAAATAAAGCACCTAAGTTAATAAAACAAATAATAAGGCCAAAATGTTAACATTCATTTCCCACGTGTTGGGGATTCTACATAAATAAGCAACTATGGCACCAGACCGCGTAAAATAAATTTTCACACATGGTCGGCCGAGAAATTGAGACTAACGAAGTAAACAACCAGATATGTGTAAAGCGTTGTGGTAGACAAGTGGGAGAATTGTTGGGTCTGATTCAAGAAGTCTACGGTTCGAATCCGAATTCAGTAGCAATACCTGAAGATGGAGGAAAACATCGTGACGAAACCTGCAAGTTGAAGATTTGTGAACCTTGCTAGGCCTGTGAAGTTCCCGCATTAGGCCAGCGTAGCGGAAAGCATAAGCCGTCTCCTAGGAGATCCGAACCCATCAATGGTTTGATGTGGAAAGCAACTCGTGTAGTAGTATTATGATACCATAATGTAATGTACCACTTAAATACATTATGGTCTGCAATAAACTATAAAGTATTGAATGAAAGGCGCGTGGATTACCAGCGCTATATGCAACGCGTGTGCATCGCGAAATTATACAAATATGTGCGTCCGTATACGGCATGGGAGCGCACACATACAAACCGCGCTGCTATGCTTGTATGAAGTTACCATACTTGTCTTATTTTGCTCGTAATACACTGTATCACATGACAAACTAGAAACCAGTTAAAAGACATGACAGGTTTTAATAATACCAGCAATTAGAGGGTAGAAACCGCAAGCGTGTGGATGTTTATTACAGGGTAATTAATAATCCTACCCAACACCTTAGTATAAAAACTTACCTGTCTCTAATAAACCGCAACATACTAGCATCCTGAACTCTGTACACGTTCAACGTAAGCGTTCGAACTGCTATGCGCACCATAGACTCTGGATGATTGAAGAATTTTATAGCCTCAGTGTACAGAGGGAAATCTTTTGTGTGCTAAAACATATTTAAAGAAGATAGAATGTTTTAGGAAATAATTTAACCTCTTAAAGCTCCTTCAAAATGTACCTACATAATATGTGAAGTGGTTCAGACTCTGACAATATTGTTCCTATGATCACGTAAATGCTCAGTGTACAGTCGACGCACTAAGATACCTGACCCCCTGGCCGACCTTTTGGTTCTGAGAAACTTCTTACGAATTCAAGAGAAAAGTATAAAGAAATTTCAGCTCTTAAATTCGTATTTATGTAAAGTAATTAAAGTTTAAATTTGACTTAAATTTCTTACTTATATATATCATATATTTCTTACTTAATTGACTTAAGTTTCTTAAGAGGTCATTCACTAATGGTGCAATAAAGAAGTCATATCAAAATTAATTTAAAGGTTACCCCCTTCCGCATTGCAAGTCTCACCCGTTTGAGGGATAGGTACCCTTGGGACCCTCGTTTAGCGCGGTAACCGGTGGAAACCGGGACGGCCGAGGGCGTCGTAATGGTGAAACTTCGGAATCCCACATCGACGCTCACAACGCCTGGCCAAGAGGGTAAGTCCGCGGGTTTCAGTAGATATTCCATCCAATTGTCGGGTTAGTCTCACATAAACCTCGAGCCTCCCCGGGTTTGAGGGTATACATAAAACATACCCCCCATAAACAAAATAAGGGGGTCAGGTATCTTAGGGCATCCGACTGTAAATTATAATGAAAACGTCGCATTCAAATTTAGCGCTATATATTATATATGACCATGAAAATACTTGCTTGGACCTGAAGCATTTCATAATATTGTTAGTACAGTCATTTGAGACTAACGTAAAGTAATGTAGATTATAGAAACTTCTGCACACAGGCAAATGGAAAGTGGTAATTATTTGCGACCCCACAACTTAAAACGCAGAGATAGGTTGGCTGTGCTAATAACTAAATTGCATTGCATTGATCAGGATCATTTCATATATCCATGAAAAATTTGCAATGTATTACCTAAATATATTTAAATATAGAGACATACAATTTTGGCTAAAGACTGAAGGAATTGTTAATAGAATTTCGAATAGAAATTCAATTAATTACATTAAACTTTATAGTTCTCTGTTTGCATCCATATAATTTCATTAAAATAAATTATTTCTGTTGTATTTTATTCTTGCCTATGTTGTTATTTTGAAACGGTTTGTTTGAAAAAAAAATACACGAAATTTAGATCCGAAAAGTAGTTTCATCTATGTACAATAATCGGGAATACCTAAGAAGTCGGTATTTTGAATGCTTTTTTCATTGCTTGTTTTGAAATTGCATGTTTTTTAACTATTTAAGTTACATTGTATTGTTGCAATTCTCTTACAGGCTTTATGTTTGTGATAATCTAATAATTTACGTTTTTATTTTTGTTTATTACTTTGTCTGTTACCTAGTTTTAAGTTTTTAGCTTTACTAACAAGGTGCATGTATTATAAATTTTATTATGTACATGTTTGCTAATGAATAAATACTGTATGCTAAATTTATGTGCCTTCATTACTAAACCGTTCATGACACATTAAATAACATCACCATGATTATGACTAAGTGCCTCAATAGATCCACCCAATTTACCAACAATGCATTTTTTAATGTTTTTCATTGCCTATACAAAACTTGTGACAACTTTACAAAGAGCACTAAAAACTCACCTCATTATAAAAGAAGTGTATAGTATGGTTGTTCAGTTTTAGACTAAGTGTCTTAAGGAAGGATATGTAGTAGGCCATCACTTCTTCATCAGAGAAGTCAAACTTGTGTACTATTATTGAGTTCACATGGTTATTGCTCAGAAGGTAATCTGTGAAAAGCATGACCCTAGTAAAAATTATATCAAGTAATATATAAGAAAATCTTGGTTTTATGTCAAAAATCTGTTTAAAAACACACCAGTCACCCACTCAAGGTGGCAAGTGGAATTAGTACCACAATAATAAAATAAATTTTAATAAGATAGCTGTCAGTAATTTTATGATTTTGTTATGAGAATATTGAAAATAAATCATTTTTTATTTTTTTTAATCATTTTTTAACTGTAGCTGACATGATATATGCACAACTAGAAAACTATAAACCATTCAGAATAACTATAAATATGACTTGTTCCATAACAGTGCATTCGCAGTTGTAACTGTAATTTACTGTTTGTTTTTATCTGGACTAGTTAAACATTATGAAATATTATGCTGCTTGTTAGTAAACTGACAGAAGAATACATCATAAAGTAGATACTCAAAATCACAATATTTTATTGCAATTAGCTTTGTAAACTCACAGTAACTTGAATTCACAATCTCATTATTGAATAGAAGAGCAAATTTTTCTTGAAATATCTATAATTTTTAATCCAAATAATTAGGAATAGCGGGAACTGAACGAAAATGAGAGCAAACTTTGCAACCTGACCTGGGTAGACTCCAATCAGAGCCAGAGGCCATCATGCTATCAAACATATTAAGAGACTTTAGACTCTCAGAATTTGTTAACAAAACTGTTTTATACTTAAACTGAAATGTCTTCTTATTGTACTTTCATGTCAAACCAGAACAACGCAAGTCTTAGAATATGTTTTTAATTTCATAACAACTTTGAGTATTTAGGCTTTTATCAAGGCAAATCCAATGTATTCATTGCTTAGTAGACATAGTAACTTCGCAAAATCCATTTTATAATGGGTACATAGAATTCTTAAACATCTTGTGTACAATGTAAGTTTAAACATAAAATATATTTTATGTTGTTAACTTAAAAAAATACAAAAAACAGAAAAATCTTTTTTGCAACATTTTTTCAAATGCAGTAATTGATATTACTGGTTTGGCATGGTAGTAGGCAGAACACTGGATATACTGTGAACACTTTCCGAAACATTGGACCTAGTGCAAGTCAAAATTAAAGTTAAGGCTTTGTTTGTGTTCAAAATATTTAACCATTTATTTTTTATTTTTCACCAATTTGCATAAAAATATAATTGTTATAGTTATGTTGTATGTTTCATTAATGTCGACTTACACTAAGGCTCAACTCACACTGGCGCAGTCGTAGCGTCGCGACGCGTCATGTTATTCGCCTATAGCATATTCATCTCTATTTTCTCAATATTAAGGTACAATTTGTGTTATGCAAATATGGATTCGACGCGCGCCTTCGCGGGTAGACGCTTGGTTAAAGTCGAGCGGTTTCGCGAGTCGCCGCGCGGTCACCGTGCGTTATTTGCGCGCAGTAACGCGTCAGACCGACGTTACTGTGAGTCGCGTCGCCATGCGTTGTAGTTGAAAAACAGAACGCGACGCGACGTTTCGACTCTGCGCGAGTGAGTTGAACCGAAGGGCGCGTTCCCATTATGTCGTAACGCTTAATTTATCGTTAGACGACTTGTCGCGTCTAGCCTATTTCCATATCACGACTATCTGTCGTAACTGAGTCGTGGACGTTTACTTTATCGTCGAACGACTGTCGTGTCTAGCTGTTCCCAATATCGCGATCGCGACGCCAATTTATCGATTCACGGCAACCACCTTGTCGTTTGCACGACAGAATTGTGTGAAGCTACAATTAGCTGTCATCACATTTACATCGTGACGTTTTATTTATCGTCTGACAGTCGGTCGTCGTAACGTCAAAAAAGTTGTGAAAAACAATTAATCGAGTTTTACTATAATGTGAACAACTTCATTTAAATATACAAGCCACAACACTTTAAACTGCATGACTATCTGTCATACCGACATAATGGGAACACGCCCTAACTTAAGTACCTCTTAAAATAATGCTTGCGATGCAAAAGACACTCTCACATGACTGTCTTATCTATTTAAGACATAGTCAAATTTAGTGCAAGTGGACATAAGTGTCCCAATGTCTTAAGATTTGCTTTGTTGAAGCAATAAAGTACAGCCATAAATGATAACACACTAAGGCTGAGAGGCTAAGATTTATACAATAAATAATTTCGGCTATGCAAAAATGGTGAGCTAAGTAAATTTTTCCTATTTACAAAACAAATTTAGCCAAGTGCGGGACTAAAAAAAGTTTTTTTACCTTTATCGCGGGTACCATAGACACACATATAGACAACCACAAATTACACCCAAACTCACAAGCTAAATAAATGTAGGCCATACACATATCTCTCCTGCCCCGGCAAACTAACCCGAGACCTCTGTGTGGCAGACCAGCATGGTAACTGTACGGCCACAAAGGAAAACTCTGACTTCACTCCACATTTTCTTAATTAAACTTAGGCAGTTTTGTTTTGCAAATAAGAAAAATTTGCTTAGCTTGCCGTTTTTGGTAAGTCCAAATCAAAGTATGTTTGTGTAAATAAATCTAAGTCTTAATATAAACAATGGTCCATGAATCACAATTAGTCAGAGATTGTAGTTTGTAAGTCCAATTTGTTAATTTGTACTTTATACATACACAATGAAGTTTCATTTCTGATGTTCTCAAAAAGAATATTCAGGGTCTGCAGCAGCTGTACACACACATATGAGGAACCTCCACATTTTTGTCTCATAATCTTCAGGAAGTACGAGAGCATGTTCTTTTCTAGGAAGAAACTGAAAACAACATTTTATGATTTGTTGTTTGTTTAAGTTCCCTAACACAAATTACAGTGAAGTTACTCAGATCCTGACTACAAATATAGTAAAGAAACTAATTTAAATGTCTGGTACAAATAAGTTTATTGCAATAAGTAATAGTTACAAATTTACTTGTATTGAATAAAATATGTATAACATTCAGATCTCCAATATTATTTAAAGTTAGTAAATAGTTTTAATACAGTATATATACAAATATTTAATACAGTAGTTCAACCACTGTTACAATATAATATATAATAATGATTTTAATAAGGTTTTATTATTTACGCATTTTAATTTAGGTATTCTACACTGTCATCTGTGTTAAGAAATATTTACACTCAGATCCCTTTTTCACAGAATGTTATTCCTTTTAATGTGATATAGACAATTTTATTTATGTTCACAGTAATAAATATGTTACAATGCAAAGAAAAATGTTCCATCAAGGTCAACAGATTTAAGATACAGTGACACAATAGAACTAAGTCATAAACTTACTCAAACACAGAGCTATCGTTTTGGTCTCCCCAAATCAGGATCTCGGCGATACATCGTAGAGACTCCACTAATGTGCTTCTATTGCCTTCTGACACTGTAGTATTCTTGGATAGGATGTTATGTAAATATTTAAGTCTCTCTAAAGAATGAGGGTTTTTGGGCCTTCCCCAACCACCCCCAAACCAACTGCGACTCCGGAACATTATACTCCACCTTGTACTATGGAATTAATCAACGAAACCAATACATTTTCTCATTTTTTACAATCTTATTTGAACACCATGGAGGTACGTCACACTAATTAGCACTTTGTTCCCATGTTTTCGCAACCATTGAAGCATTTAGTTCTGATAAACACATAAATTCGCAAAGAAGCTACGTTCCTATATTAAATTTGTCGATTCTTAAACAAATTCTCCATATTTTTAATTTATTTTGACAATACGACGTGTTTCACAAACGCAATTTTGACAGTTACTGCGTTTCGTTTTACTTTTTTACTTTACGCTTCAATCAGTAGAAGTTTGTTTCTTGTAAAATTGAAGTTGAAACGAAATACCACCGATAATAATAGTTTTAATGTTGTTGCTTCGGCAGAATATTATTGTTTTTATCCTGTTAGACTTTTCACAACAACTTTGTGCATAATTCTCGTTTCGCAAGTACCTTGTTAGCAGTATCACTGGTTTAATGAACGTCAAATGGCATGCATAAGTAGCCAAGGAACAAATTTTGTATTTTTATGGCTAATCAAGGGGAACACAAGTGATGTTAAATTGATCTTGAAGATAATACAGAAACTTTAGATAATTATTCCTATTCATTATCAATAATAGTCATTTTCACAATTTAAAGATACGTATATGTAGTATCGACTCTTCCGTAGAACAATGACCTATGGGCAAGACTGCTTATTCCCAGGACACTGTTCTATCGCTGTGGATATGAGATCGACCGTTGTTCGTTTTACATTTCCAAAACGAAATAATATATAAAAATTCTGAATACACCTATAGATAGGTCTTAATTTGAATAACGAGATTATGTATTTATCCTCTTTTCGCTGTATAAGCTCTAGCTGAGAAAAATAAGATTAGACGTAGATTCAAGACATACAATAATCCTATGGATGAAGTTGAGTTGAGTGTTTTAACTAAACGCTGTCGTAGACTTGCTACTAACTGTTATAACAACTATGTGAAACGTGTTGAGCAGTCCATTCGTTTCAGTCCCAAACATTTTTGGTCTTACGTTAAGGCAAAAAGAGGAGGCTCGAGTTCATATCCTAGTATTTTAAGAGACCTTTGGTCTAAGAAGCCTTTAGATGGCAATGTATCGTCTAATAGTGGTAGTGATATGTGTAATATGTTTGCAACGTATTTTTCGTCGGTATACGAACCTCCTGACCAGCATGCCTATGAAATACCAGACCAGTTGAAATGCATCTCATCCTACAGTCGTACTATATGATGTAATAACTTTATCAGAAAATTGTGTCCTACAGAAGTTACAAACATTGGATGTAACAAAGGGAGCAGGTTTCGATGATATACCATCTTTTTTTCTTCGAAACTGTGCAGTAAAATTAGCTGGTCCGGTCACTTCTTTATTTAATATGTCATTAAGGTTAGGTCGTTTTCCCGACCAATGGAAGATTGCTCGTGTTATACCTATTCCCAAGTCCGAAGACGTGGAAGTTATAGATAATTACAGACCTATTTCCATCTTAGCAACATTGGCAAAAGTCTTTGAGGTCTTAGTTTGTCCTATTTTGCAAGTATATTTTAGTAAATATTGAAATGAGCACCAACATGGCTTTGTCAAAGGACGATCAACAGCAACGAATTTAGTTGCATTCACGGAAATGATTTCAGCATCCATTGACTCTCACCATCAAGTCGATGTCATATATACGGATCTTAGTAAGGCCTTCGATAAGGTGCCACACAACATCTTATGTAAAAGACTTTCCGTTTATGGCGTTAGTGGTTCTCTTTACAAATGGCTGGAATCGTATTTAGAATATAGATTATTTTATGTGGTTGTCAATGGTTACAGCTCTGTTGCAACGAGCAACATCAGGCGTGCCCCAGGGTTCACACCTGGGACCAATTTTATTTAATATTTTCATTAACGATCTTCCTTTGACTATTAGGAGTTCTTCCCCTTTTATTTAAGCTGATGACTTGAAAATTTCTAAGGTCATTTTTAGTGACAATGACTCCAAGCTTCTTCAAGCAGACTTAAATAGTTTGGTACATTGGTGTGAGAGCAATGGTATGGAGTTGAATGTTGCAAAGTGTACCCATATTAAATTTACTAGAAATCTTTCACCTATCTCCACTAATTACTACATAAAAGGGACACTTCTGGTTGAGTCTGATATGGTGAGAGATCTCGGTGTGATACTTGATAAGAAATTCACTTTCGTACCTCATATTGATAAAGCCACAAAAAGTGCCTCTCGTAACTTAGGTTTCTTACTCAGAACCTGTAAAGCGTTTAAGAATCCAAAAACAAAGTTAATACTTTATAACACCTTAGTCCGTAGTATTCTAGAATATTGTAGCACTGTGTGGCGTCCTCATTTCGCTACTCACTCACTGAGATTGGAAAGGATACAGAAGAGGTTTGTGAATCATTTAGCGTTCTACACAGGACAAGCTAAAAAACTTCGATCGTATACATCAAGACTCACAAACTTCCAAATGCTGTCCTTGGAGAAGCGACGGGACATTTTAGATATGATGTTTTTATACAAAATGTTAAATAATCAAATTAAATGCAGTTCAGTTCTAAACCTCATATCATTTAATGTTCCCCGCAAACTGCCTAGACTTCCCATTAAGCCTCTTTACATACCTCTTCACAGGACTGTTTTGGGCGCGAATTCTCCCATTGCAAGACTTAGCAAGTTGTATAATGATCATAGCGCAACAATTGATTTACACTACTTCTCGGTAACAAAAACGAAGCGCGTAATGTCATCACCGTCTTGAAACTGTGTCACCTAACTTTTTTTACGTTTTCACTTAGTCTTAATATATTTCACTATTTCTTTCTGTAAGCGATTTGTATTGTTGAATTAATGTTAGCACTTTTCCTCTTGCAAGTTTTTTCTAACTCTGTATAATTTTATTGTGCATGTAGTGTCGGTCTATAACTGATTGTGCACTTAGTTTTAAGCTTTTGCATGTATATTTCTAACTTATTGGTGTAACAATTGTTGACTGACTAAATAAATTAAAAAAAAAAAATCACATCGGACTCTGTTCTTCGGATGAGTCGACATTATTATGTCTAAATAATTTCACAATTGTATATTGTATTTTACGTCAGTTACATAGTGTTAACTGCCTTAGTGGCCGAACGGTTACCATAATTTAACCATATAGGTAATTAACCTGTAGGTATTATACATATTACTTGAGCCATAGTTTAGTAAGTTGGTCTTTCGCCAATGTATTCTATGAGTTGTGAATGATTTTCGCTCAGTATATTGATATATTTTAACCTAGTACTGGTAACCTATATTCTTAGTCTATGATTTTGACACAGTCGTAGTCTGCCTTATAAAGATTTAAACAACCTCTTTTAGTCAAACTTAAATTTAAAGAGAATGTTTTTGGCTGTCCACGATGTAGGTACATCCAACAAACTTTCGGTTTCAATTCATAACAGGGACTATTCACATCCAAGCTGTGTTTGACAAAATATTCGCATCGAATGCTTCAATCGAATCGAATGTTGTATCGGTATTTCAATCAACGTACGTTGACATTATCCACGGAAGAAAGAATTTATGTGATCTGTGACATTATCCATGAATAATATAGAATAACACTTAGTCTAACATAAGCATTCGCTGCAAACATCTTGACCAATACAGAACAAGGCGACCATGGTCAACAAAGAACAGTGTTCTCGATTTTTTTTATTGAATTTCAAGATGTTTTACCACTGTGATGGGTATAGATATAGCTTTGTTAAATTAACTAAATAAATTACTCCACTATTTTGTTATAATACATATAATGCGGCGTTGAAAGTCGAATATAAAGATCTATAACAGACACATAGAAGAATTTCGTAAACCTGCTGACTCTACCTGTAGCTCAGTTGCCGCAGCTCAGTTGCAGTCAAAGGATTTTTTCTTTGTGTTAAAGCAGTGTGTAGCATAGACTACATGATTGTAAAGTATATCTATTGACCCAAGGAAAAGTGTAAAGGAAATGAGGTAAAGGAAACAAGACAAATAAAAATTACCAACAAGACTTAGCAAAAAAGCGTTTTTATTACAGCTAACTGTCCACTTATTTCTGAATTCATCATTTTCAAATAAATAAGACTACTTTGTTCTTACGATAGGTGTAAATTCGATAGAGGTTTATGTTATACCTATATGATACGAGTATAAAATTATTCGATCTTGTTACGTTTTTACATCAGAACTTCATAAATTCGGTTTTGAAAATTAATAAAAATATAGATAGGACACGCAAGGTCCGCGCAAATACACAGGTTTTGACACTAACATTATTGATATATTCTATATATTTTAAGAATCTATTCCCTAAATGATTGTCTCTAGTCACAGGTGTCTTGCCACAGTGATTTTTTTTTATTTCCCAGTTAGTTCGGAATGGTTACACACTCCATGGTCAAAAATCATAGCTTGGTAACAAACCGGACTCCTTAAAATTTAGCTTTATTACAATAATAGGTCACAAAGCAATAATTATTTTACATAATATTTACGTTAAAACCAATTAGTATATGACATTTAATTGAAATCCACAAATTATTGATACGTTACTTTTGAATAATTCCAATTATTAATTAATAGTTAACTAAGAAATAGTATTATATTTTTCAAAACAAAACACGATAAAGTTATGTCCGACGGTAAAAAGTGTTGGGTTTATAATATTTCTAAGTCGATCAACTCATCCAGTCGAGAAATGGCTTGGCGGTAATTTTTAAGTTGAGCTACTTTTGGCTATTTTCAGCTGTGTATTTTTTGATTATTTTTATCCATTGTTTACCAATAGCACACCTAAATAATAGTACTATTATGTTTGGAATAAAAATTAAAATTTAATAAATAGTGGCACCATGCGATTTCGCCCTTATTTGTATGACAGACCCTATTAGTTAATTATATACGATGTGAGTTGATTTCAACTATTACCATAATATTGTAACACTGTTTTATAGCATGTCAAAGGCCATCTATCGATTTCACTGAGCATGTCCCATCACTGGTTCATAAAGTTGACATGAATTATTGAATTAAGGTAAAGTTTTACGGAGTATAGTGGTGGTAACAAGTATTCGAAATTTTTTATCAATGCAGGAAAGAAAATACTTGGAAGTATTTTTTTTTAATTTTACAAAGCACAGTGAAAACAGCTCGAGTATTCCAGTCAACTGCATACTTATTTACGGGCAATGACGTACACAAATGATATAAATGATTAGTATACACACTCTTAAAGCAGTGTTTACAGATAAAAAAAACAGTCGTTTAAAACAATAGACAAAACTAGAACCTCGTCAACAAAGTAAAAGAAATAGCGATGACGTTTTTTTATTTTTAAACCATTTGTACGTAGAGTCCTAAAATGTAATACTAAACTAATTACAATAAATTAAATATAAAGCACAAAATAATAAATATTAGCGTAATAATTTAATGTTAATAATATTATGTAAAGTTAATCTAAACACTAAAACTGACTCAAAATCTTAACAAGTCACATATTTACTTAAAATCACTGAATTATTCTTATACTTATTCTAATTAGTTGATAGCTTAGAAATAAAGAAACAGACGTTGAAGTAAAATCAAGTGCTTCTTAATTTTTTTTAAGTATTCATACATCTTTTTGAAATTTCGCGCTATGCCCGGCCTTCGAAAATTTTCTTACCTACTGATTATTTGTCTATTAAATATTCGTTGTTTAGTATACATACATTACAACCTGAGTATTTTTAGGTAAAAGTATAAGAAAAGAAAAAATAAAGTAAAATGCAGGCAGTTCGTAAATTAGATAGGTACATTTATTGTTAGTGGAATAATTTTGATTATTTTGAAAAAGTGGCATACCTATTATTACAAAAGGAGTTAAATATAAAGTACTGGATTATAACAGCCCAACTGATATTTGCGTGACTCAAAGTATTGTCATTTCAATAGTCATTTTACTTCGTTTTAATGAAACATTCCGAGTTCTCGATTTTCAACTTTCATTAATTGTAAGTGGTCCCTCGTTTACATTTGTTTGTGTTCCTTAATAACTTACAACAGCTCGATACGAGCCAGTCATACGATTTCTATACTTTCACAGCGTATGTTTAAGGGTAGAAGTTCTGTAAGGCGTCTGAGTATATAGAGTTGTATGTATCTCTAAGGACGTAGACACTGTCGCCTGGCTTCCCGTTGAAGACGTACTGACCTTTAAGATCGGTTACTTTAGAATTAGTTGGAGCTGGTTTAGGTTTAGGGTTGGAATATGAGGGAATGTTGTAGCTGGGTCGAGATGGTGGCATAACAGGTTGTGGGGCTCCATATCCAAAGGGATCCACGGGAGACATTTGAGGTATTTGAGGTTGGTATCCTTCAGAACCACTCCATTGGTATACGCCAGTTGGCTTGCCGTTCGAAACAAAATCTAGAGGCAAGTTAATAAAAGGGTCTACTTGAGGAGGTACACCAGGTGGGGTAAAAGGCGACATAGGTGGGCCGATGTTCGGTGGCTGCGACACGTACCCCAAACCCGGTACAAACATATAAGGAGTGGGAGGCAGTCTAATATAGAAGATAGGTGAGTTGTCATACTGAAGAGAATTTATATTATCGTTCTGGAAGCTGTTTCCATTGCTGTTTTTCTTCTTGTTCTGCTGGCGCCGCCTCGAAGGAATGGTTCGGGAGAGATCGTCATCATCGATGTTGTCGTCATTAACAGCGAAGACTACGTCATCGTCGTCGTCTTCGTTGTAGTCAAGTCCCGATGATAGAAATGAGGGGTAGTATCCGAAGAGATTCAGGGCTTTATTTTTTCTGTTGGATGGTGGATTGGGTGGATTTGTTGTAGTTTCCTTGAACTCGTCTTGCAGTTTACTATCGCGGTTAGTCGTATGTTCTGGATCCGATAGCTTTGCAGCTCGAGATCTTCTTCCACTGGGCGCGCTTTGCCCGTGGTACGCCAGCATTAGTAACCCCAGAGCTATAAACAAAGTGGGGTACTCCATCGTGCTTCTGTAACAAAGAAAATAAATCTACATAGGCACACTAGGTATGTACATACATAAACTAGTTTAACTGTGACTGGAAACAATCTAATATACGATTTATATGCGAGTTTATAATTCGCTAAATATTTCTATAAAAAAGGAAATTTAATCCAGTGTACTGTGAGTTCCTTTTCACATTGCATTTATAATGTATTGGATTTCATTGTTCAATAATAAAAAGCTGAAAGTGCAAGTTCTTTTACTTATTCGATCCCTAAAGTCCCATTTATAAAATAAAATAAATATGACAGTTACGATGTTGATCTTCGAATGGTATCAAGTTACTAGTGCATACGAGTCAAAAACTGTACAGATCAGTGTAATACGAACATATGACAGAGTTACGAGGCTTGATTCACATAATAATAAATTCAGTATTCATACAAACATAAAGCATACTTTTAAAAATAGTCGATTGCACATGCAAGCATGTAAATAATAAATTTCATCAGTACGAGAGCCGGGCCAAATATGGTGTCGACGCAATTAAGTACCATGATTATAAGAATGGCATTCGAGAAACAAAAAATAGGATTCTTGATGGAAATTAAAATGCAGGAGCTATGTGTATAATTTTGTGTGATCCTATAAAATTACAGCTACTGACACAACATGTTTATTGATATTACAAATAAAACGTACTTAGCATCTATTTTTAACCGACTTCAAAAAAGGTGGAGGTTCTCAATTCGACTGCATTTTTTTTGTGTGGTTTTTTGTGTATATTCTATTTGTTCCTAAGACTCTTTTATTGGAAAGGGGGTATCCCAGTAGTCCCATTCAAATTTGAAGAAAATATTCCACCTCTTTGGTGGCAAATTATAAATGAAATCAAAAGAGAAATCAATAAAACTAGGCAAATAGAATTAACACAGAGAAAGTGCATTAGCAGTCTTTTGATAACAGTTTTTTAAATAAAAGGTTGTACCTAATTATTATTCAAATTTTTGGTAGTTGAAAGTTTATAATAAGTCATATAAAAATAGCTAATTATTCATCTAAACATCTATCACAAAGCTCAGATTATATCGCCCGTTTGCCAGAACAATGTGTTATCTCTAAAATATCGAGATACACATAGATAACACGTTGTTCTGGCAAACGCGCTACACATACCTTCTCCTTAAAAGAGAGATAAACAGTATACAAACAGTGCTTTATCAACATCTTCTCAGAGCCTTATTAATTATTTAAATAAATAAGTGTAAAATAGAGTATAGATTTACGAGTGAAACGATGCAATGTTTTGATTATAAAAATGCCCTTGGTCACGAATCATGTCAGCGTTTTAATTCGCGGCATTTTTAGCACGCCAACCTCGAAGATCAAATGTTCCGTTATTCGATTCCAATAAAACTTAGCAAATATCATATCATATAATAGTCTCAAACTTTCGAGATGGTTTTTTTTTTTATAAAACAGATATGTAATTGCATTTATTTTAATATTTTTTGTCATTGTTACGACCGGACGAAATTACGCGTGTGCAATTCATCCGCGCAATTTAACGTTAAATCTGCGCCTGGTCGTTTTCGTCGCAGTTGGACAGACGGTTTTGCAGCTTATTCACGGAAGTATTTATGCTACTACTAATTTTATTGTAGGGAATAAAATAAAAAAGACATAAACGGGTACAAACATAATACCAGCAAGTAGGTATTCTGTATAATAGAGTAAGTAAGTGTTTACGAGAATTGTCGTAATTTGTGCAAACGCTTGTCGTAATAAATTTATACGCCCTGGCATTCTTAATGGATGAATAAACTTAAGGTGTGATACGACAATGAGATTACAACTTTACAGTAATTATATTCCATGATTCTCAAACATAACAAATTATCCGTATTCTATCGAAGTACTTATACAGGACGCCATTTTTTTTATTCCATGATATGTCAGTAGGTGATTGAACCCATTAATGCGAACAACTTTTACAACCATCCCTCAGAACTCGAAAAATACTGACTTCATCCTAAATCAAACCCAAGAATATCTTGAAAAAATGTCACTCTGTATTACAAGAGTGATTGGTAAAGTTTATATCGCATACCGGCTGCAACAATGATACAACTCAATAATATCAAATGTAGATTTAGTAAGAAGTGATATACGTTACCAATAAGTCGTCAAATGCAACATTAGCTAAATTCCAACTGATAATCATAATGCATAATCTTATAATTATAACTGCCTCCATGGCCGAACGGTTACCATGCCGGACTTCCACGCAGAGGTCCCAGGTTCGATTCCCGGGCCGGGAGAAATGTTTGTATGGCCTACATTTGTTTCTCTCGTGAGTTTGGGTGTAATTTGTGGCTGTCTATATGTGTGTCCATGGCACCCGCGACACAGGGTTTCCCTAGTGCGGGGCTATGTTGAGTGTGTGCGTTATTTATTTAATCATCATCAACCTATTTATAATTTCCACTGCTAGACACAAATCTCCTCTCAGGCGAGGCTTTAGGCCACAGTCCGCCACGCTGGCCCAATGTGGGTTGGGGACGTCCCACGTTTTTCAAGGGTTGCGAAACTTCTTCGATGTGCAGGTTTCACCAGGATGTTTTCCTTCACCCAAAAGCTCCTGATAAAATTTCAAATTGAATTTGTACATCAATTCCAAGAAATTAAGAGGTGCGGGTTTGGAGTCGAATCCACTAACTCTCCTTGAGAGTCGGTAGACCAAACCATTAGGCTACTATGGCTTTTTACTACAATATTGTCATACATTTTTTTATAGCGCTAATACGTACGTAATACGTAAGTACACCGAAATGCGTCTCCGTAGTTAAAAAGTGACAATAACAATTTGTAATGTCGTGCCTCGTATTCTCTACGAATAAATTCTAATCAACACCTCTGTACTTAACTCAGAATAAAAGGTAAATAATAATAATAATTTATAACTAACAGCCCGTTGCACCAAGTACCAAGTACCAATTTATAACTAACACAAATATAAGTATTTGCTATCACTAAGTATAGGACATATCGTCGGTGTTTTGTACAAAGCGACACTCGAAAATTTTTGTATGTAATGGTACATTATTGCAGAGTCCGGGAAGTAAGGGATAGCTGGACGAGTACGAGTTAGTAATGCGAGCACCAGGGAGGACGTGTAATAATACGAGTCAAGTTATCCCCGTTCCCGCCGAGTCTTTAATAGTGATTTTCTCAAACAATGTGAGAAAATAATAGAAGACTAAAAAAGAAGATGTATTATATAAAAAGTAAAAAATATTAATTAATAAAAATCGGTTCTCACTGCTCAAAGTATATTGAGAGAGTAAAACGCCTAGAATTGGAAAATAGCAAAATGAACCATTAAAATAATTGCTCCTTATAATAAAATTTAGGCGTTATTTAGAAAAATGAATCTTCATGCGTGAACAGCCACCCTTAGAGGCGGATGATTTTCTTCAAAATTAAATGGGACCACTATGTAGGTACCCTCCTTTCAACAAAAAAGAATCATCAAAATCGGTTTATAAATAGCGGAGTTATCGCGTAACATACGTACAAAAAAAAAACAAAAAAAGCACTTTACTTTATTTTACCGACTTTTTTAAATGACGATTAATTTACGATGCAATTACGAACACTTGGCAATTGGCTGTATGAGATTTTCTTTTGCATGTTTACATAGTTCATTTATTAATAAGTAGATTTAAAAGTTTAGAAAAATGGGCACTAATGGATGTTCATACATACTTCGCAGGCCATAACCGCGGCCGGAAAGAAGTCTCACGGTCCATGAATGACAAACTTTCCGTGTTCGTTTTTTGAAAGTAATGCAAACATTTCGAAGCATGTTTGAGAAAATATTATTTTAAAACAGTCGTTAAAACTTAGAACATGTTCCCCTGAATTTTTTTTCAAAGTGTCGCTTACGCCCTGCAAAACACCGACGATATTCTTAATAATAGCTTCAAAAAGGCTATATTTTATTAATTTTAGAATAACAATTAATGTGAAGATTTTTCACTCTCCTTTGAAATTACTAGAAATTACTCGAGCGGTGTTGTTTGATAAGCGACGACAGCGCATTAATGTTTCACGTTTAAAAATTAAACGTATTTAGTTCTATCTTTATCGTTTTTTTTTCGTTTGAGAAACATAGTCGTACTGCGTGCGTAATAATTCTGCGTTAAAAAGAATTTAAAGTGCAGCTTTTGTACGTAATTCGCCCTTTACGAGTGTTCTGCAAGTTACGATTATTACTGAATTAAGATATCTCTCTGGTTGACGTTAACAATTTACTTTGCAAATGAAAACGACATTTGTGATAATTATATCTGATCTGATGTATTAAAGTTTGCAACATAACTAAACTGGTTTTTGTACTTAATACACAGATAAAAATACATACATTTTGTTTCGTACACTGCTCAGTTTTACAAAAAAAAACACTTTAATCATTCAACCAAGTATCTATTGCTAGAATACTCCCGTAACTATAAAGTTATAAGTCTGAGGATGTAATTTATTTCCGTTTTTTTATGACACCAAGTTGTGCGCTTGGTGATAAGCGACACGCTTGTCCATAGCATTTGCAGTGCCACTCAGAGCTTTAAATTGTAAACATCTGAGGGGCACTGCCACCGCGCCCGTCACCCTGAGACATAAGTTGACAAGTTGTGCCTGTAATTTCACTAACACCCATAAACCTAACGCCTCAATTGACCAATACTGTCCGAAAAACAACCTTTTCGAATATTTATTACATAATGAATGTACTGGTTCGTAATCTAAAGTACATCCGTTCGTCTTAGAAAGAAGACAGCGCTGCAATTATTGAAGGTTATTCAATTCTATTTCATTGTTACGATTTTTATATTATGTGATATATTTATGGTTGTTTTTTCATATCGATGCATGTATTGAAATATCGCTTATGTCAGTATATGGAAAGTAATTTATGTCAGTTAGATAATAGATACTGTTAATTCAGACAGTTGTTACATAAAA